TAACAAAGAAAATTGCTTTTTTGGGAGAACAGCGTGCTACAAATGGCCAACCATTATCAAAAAGTCAAAATAAACAAACTTAGACGGCAACAGGGGGTATTTTTTCCTTTCCTTTTTTTTTTTTTTTTAATAATAAAGGGAACTTCCAAGCTTTCTGTAACAGCAACTGGTAAATTATTTCAGGTGGGTATGTTAGAGTTTCCTTCTCTGCCTTTTTAAAATTTGAGTGGGATCTTGTGCTTTATTTGATATGCTCCCAAAACTGATCGCAATCATGCTGTATAAAAGACCTCCTGAGTAATCTGACCAGGTTGTTTTACTGAGCATCAAGTCCTCACCATTCATCCAACCTCTGCAGTTGCTGTGGTTTGTGCTGAGAAAACACTACGAGATGATAGTAGTGAGATAGATGTCCCTCAGAAGGAAGGTCTTTCTTTAAAATATGATTTTCACACTCACACATTTACAATCTGTCTTTGGATTTCACAGTGAAAAACTGCCAGAGAATTTTGGTCTCTCTTCCTTTTTTTGCATCAGTGTTAAGATATGGGCCAGATTCATCCCTGTATCACCCCAGTCTTATCCTGGTGAAACCTGGGTACAGCTGGAGTAATACTGTAGTGGACCACATCTGATATGTACTTCCTCCAGCCTTGGGCATCTATTTTTGGGGTAAATTCTCAGACCGATATCATTTTATTGAAACAGATAATGAGAAGCAAACTTAGTATTTGTGAGGCCCCTTGTGAAGCCAAAACTATCTTGGGTTCAGTAAGGTGTGCTCAGTCTAAAAAACGATACATGCTTTTTATCATCTGTGAATTAACAGAGAAGGTAAAATGATGTGATCTGATATGATGTATGATATGACATGACATAACCTGCCTGGGATCCCATCTATCCAGATATTTATGTAGCTGTCCTCAGCTGATCCCTTTAGTTCCCTCCAAGAAATGAGCATCTCAAAATCTATACGGAAAACCAAGGAAATATGTCCTGACTTCAGACCCTGTCTTTTCTCTTTTCTATTTATCTCACCCTATCCTGATGAAGTCACAGATGTATCCAAAGGCACGATCTAGTCTTTTATCAATGCAACAGAAGTGTGAAGGTCATTTCTAAGGAAGCAGGACCGGATCCTTGCCCAAAGTAGCTTTGTTCTGTTGACTTGGGATAGAGATGTCACATTTGACCTTGGGAGACTGGGGTTCCCCAGTTCATGAGGACTGTTAATCTATATTTTTTCAGAACAGTTCATTTCACTTTCCATGCCAAATATACCAGGCAAAGAGCACTTTCCTGGTGGCAGATTTTATTTCAAATGTGGCTTATACTGAATAAGTGGAGATCACTAAGTTTATTTCACTGAGGAACCAAAAATGGATGAAGCGAGATCCTAAACAGCAAGCTCAATGCTTTATTTATTAATATAAGCACTGAAACAAGGTTTTTCACTAACTGGTTGTGTTTTTTATTCATATTTGTCTTTGTGGTCTGACATTTACTCATAGTGTGATAGCTTCATCAAAACACAGTTTATAGAAATTGCGTATTCCTTGTTTCATTGCTTGTTTCATTGCCACAAAGAACAAGCGTGTTAGAATTTTATGAGCAAAATATTAACCTGTGTGGTGCTCCTGATACATATTAAGTTTACCAGAAACGAGGAGAGCCAGATATGTGTTAAATGAAATACTATTAATGGGTCTTACGGCAGGAGCAGGGAGGAATACCTTGTAATTATGGCGTACACATCCAAGTGCAGCACACTTTGTTCTGGAGGCTTAAGTAGGTAATTAGCATTGTGGTTATGGAGTTGTGAGTGATCCTAAATTGTGTTGATCTCTGAAAATTGTCCTTACTCTTGCTGCTGGGATGGATAGAGTTACCTCTAGAACAAGTCTGTTGGAGTTACCTACTGGGCAAGAGCACCCCGGCCCCTGGCAGGGTGGAGGCGGCAATGGGAGACCAGCCAGGGGTGGGAAGGGAGCGAGGAGAGAAATGCTCTTGGGATGCTACTGGGGGCACAGTGTGGATGTAAAACTAGCACTTACACCTTATATTGTTTGATCAGGGGATTTCTGAGGCTGGATGAAAACAAGGAAAGCTTGTAGTGAGTGAAGAGTGGGGAAGGTTAGGAAATAAAGGCGAGGTGGAGTTGCTGCCCTAGGTAACTTCCACACAGCCGTGCCTGTGCCGGAGCAGCGCTGCAGCAGCGTATATCGCTGTAGGAGCGTTGATTAACAGCAGAACTGTGCTTAATTCTATACAGGTTAATACAGAGTCTTTCTTTAGGAGCGCCTCAACAAGGCTGCGTGCGAAAGAGTGAGAGAAAAAGAGAGACCAATTCACAAAGCTCATTTAAACTGAGCGAGAAGCTTCGGAAAACAAGAGTGTCTTCGTGCCTTTAACCATATTTACAGACCTGGTTGGTTTAATGGCATTCCGCAATAAATTCCATCGCCTTCGGGAGCAATTGATAAAGGTCCTGGTAACCGCCTGCTCCAATCTACTTTGGGGAATGTTAATAAACCAGTACCCAAGGACTCCTAGGTGTGTGCCGTGGAATAGAGGGAGCTAAATGTCAGCTAATTAAGCAGAGCTGAGACCATGAAAGATCTTGTGAGTTAAAAGTTAAATATTAATATCAGTTTCAAACTTTATGAAAAGCCCTCTTAGTGGCAGGGAAGCAGAAGGGATATCTATCCAGCATGTTCGTGACATTTTCTATTTCTAGTTAACCTCGCAGCCACATTCAAAACTAGCTGAAGTTTTCTTAAAGCAAATTCTGGAAGAGAAGCCAATAAGGAATTATAGCAACCCTTGAGGTGACACAGATATTAATGAAAGAAGAAAGAAAGAGATTTCAATATGGCTGTGTTTCTTAAATGGTAAAAAAAAAAAAAATCTTCCCCGTCATATTAAATGTGACATGAGCAAAAGGTGGGAGTTCAGAAGGGCTTGGTGCTTGGCAGGGCTGTATTTATCTGACTGCCCGTGTTGGTCGGTTCTGCAAATTCCCACAGAAATTTTCAGCTTGCCACTGGTGCTCGTAAAGAGTGGGAAAGTGAATGATGAGGACTGTGCACACCTGGTCACTCGGTGGCCAGGTTATCTCGAGCTGCTCTGTTCTGTCTTTGAGTTTCATTGTTACCACTGTTCATCAAGAGCTGTGCTAGAGGGATGCCTCAGCCCTGGCTGGGATCAGGATCCCCCGTGCTTGGCCTTGCACAGGCAGCAGAGTTAATTCACCCAGAGCTGATGCTCCTGTCATCACACACCTGCTGATGCAGGACCACTGCTCCTTCATTTACACAGGTTGAGGGTGGGCAGACATTAAACACTTTCGCCTTATCAACGCCACATCTTAACCACATGGCCCTCTCTTCTGGCCTCCATGGGAGTGGTAAATTATTAGAAAGTATGAGTTGGAGACACAGAAGAGTGATTAAAGGCCAGTTTACTGATACCAAAGAAGATGGAGATTTGTCTCAACTTCTTTCCCTGTGTAAGCTACACCATGATGACTAATAAATACTTCTCCATTGTATTTAGCTGCATTAGGGGGGTTCTGCCATGCCCAGTTGTGTTGGCCAGAAGCAGGACAGTGTGGCTGTGCTCCCAGCTTGCTGCTCTTCACATTGCAGCACACAAAGTGACCTGCAAAATATACTCCATTTCATCCAGATAGACAGTCCTGACTCTTCTGGAAGATGAAGAAGAATCAGTGGCATTCCTGTTCTGTGAAATTCACAACTGATGGATGCAAAGAGAGCACCTGAGCACCCTGCATAAGCCTCTGGGTTCCCTGTGCCTACAAGGCTGAAGACAGCAGGCAGCTGTAGCTATGCCTCCTGTGTGGCTTTGGTTATCAGTGTGTGTCCTTCCCTCTTAATTTCCCCATTAACACTGAATTTCAGAATACAAAACTGAACTGTCTAGGTTTGGTAGGTCTCATGGTTTCAAGTATCTTCATTCCTTCCAGCTCCTTGAGCTTAATCCCAGTGCAGGCAGTGTTTTTTTTTTTTTTTACTTTCAAAGACTTAACTTTGCATGACTAGGTAAGATCATTAAAGGAATTTCAAGATATTTGTTGTTTTCTGAGCCTGAGACATCTTTCATACAGCCTTTGACTGTGCTCTTCCTCAGAGCAGCCTGAACATGCCAAAGCACTTTACCGGTGTGAATAAGTATCTTTACCCACAACTTAAAATAACGAGGAGTAGAGACAAAATTTGGCAGAAACAGGACTAGAAATCACACATTCTGGTTCCTTGTCCAGCTCCTGATTTGCTGCACCACATTGCTTAAACAAACATACGTACTGGGTTGCGAGCATACATTTCTTTTATTATTAGTCATTATAATAATCTTTATGTTTCTGTGGTACAGACCACGAAATTTGAATGGAAATGTTGTCTGTGGCATACTGCACCAAAATCCAGATTTTTTTTTCCCTGTTTTCAAAGCCCTCGATCACACTGGCCCAGGTGAGAGGAGGACTGCAGCACAGCAGGTGGTCACAGATTACCTGGATTACGGACCTTCATTCCCACCAGACACTGCTTCCCCCACTCTGCTCACTTTCCAGGGTGACTGGTAGCACCTCTGCACTTGCAGGCTTTTTCATATAATAAATATTGGGACTCTTGTAAATGCTTGAAACCAGACTGAGAAATAATCTGGTGGTGCTGAGCACAGCCAGGACATTTCAATGCAGCACACTGAAGGATGACAGACAAGGTCCTTCTGGGCTGAGCCACCCTTGTGCTGGGGACACTTGAGAGCAGTGGGAACACTTGGAAAAGATGAGAACTCGGGGTAGGTTGTGGTTTTGAGGCTTTCTGGTACAATAGCATAGCATGGTGCTCAGGGAAACTCCTGTTTTCAGATTGCCTCATCATCCCAAAATGAATGGCTCTCATTTTCCCCAGGTTTGTGCTTCTCCTGTACTTTCAATCCTGAAAGCTCTCAGGAAACCCACGTCTGCTGTCTTTCAGGTTCGAAAGAGGGACAGATGAAGATCTATCTACCTACAGCCCTTTCCCTAAAACTGCTTCTCCTCAGCGGGGATTTTGTCACCCTATTGCATTCTGCACAGAACTGCTGCACTGTGGAGAGTTTTAGAAGTCCTGGGGGAGAGCCTTGGAGTATCACACAGAAAATAAGAGAGCTGCTCTCTCCTTAGTGTGAGCCAGAGTCTGGGACACCAGATGAGATGCACTGTAGACACAAGCAGTTACCCACCTCCCACTGACTTTGGAAAGTCTCCATGGTGGGAGATGTTCCTCCATCCTTCAGCCCAATCTGCTCATTTTATCTATTTTCTTTCTTCAAATAATAAAGATAGAGCTCATGTTTGGTATTATATAGTGGTGCAAAACTTAATGTCATTGGCTAATTTTATGTGTTTCTTGAAATAATGCTCTGATGGAAAGAACAAAGATTATCACCATCTCTGCCTGTTTCTCTTTGGGAAAGGTCTTCCATTTCTCCTGAAAAGCCTGTAAACAACACTGGATATGTCTAAAAAAGCGTTACCCTCATGAAACACAATGAACAGCTCCTTGATTCATTTGAAGATGATGATAAAACAACAGAACACAAATAGCTGAGATCAACTATCTGATCTTTTACCTTTGTGTCCAGGTGAAAACACAGATTCTTAACCTTTGAGCCCTTTAAATGATTTCCTGATGTGCTTCAGCAATGGCAACAGGACTTAAGCTGCCACTGATCAAGGAAAGTCTGCTTGAAAGCCTCTTTTATACTTCACAGCTTTGGGTTTTAGTTCTATATGACAGCTTTTTTTAATAAAATATTAATTTACCTTGACAGGAAGCTGTTTTGTCATGGCTGCATTCAGGAAGGCAGGGTTACTCTTCCTTAGCAGGGCTCTCTTGGTGTCAGCATGGACAACACTGGCACCTGCCCTGGGGAGATCAAGACCTTGTATTAACTGTGAAAGAAACTAGGAAGGGTGACTTTTAAGCACATGAAATACACAGAGCCATATTATCATAGAGCCATAGAATGGTTTGGGTTGGAAGGGGCCATGAAGGTCATCCAGTTCCAACCCCTCTGCTTTGGGGAAGGACACCTTCCACTAGAACAGGTTGTTCAAAGCATGATCCAACCTGGATTGTTTTCCAGACATTTCCAGATGTCAAAAGCTGTAAGGAAGGAGTGATTATGATTTCATGGAAGACCTGTCCTTCTGGTCTTTATTTGCTGGATGACTCAAGGAAGAAAAGCATCCAGCTAAAGTTTGGTGGTAACTTGGATACAGCTTTTGTGTAGCTGGAACATTGCATACAGCTATGGGGTCTGGAGCCAGCACAGTTATTCCAAGATGCTCTTCAAATCCTCATGATGAGTTACCATTTACAGCAATGCTTTCAGGCTTTTTAGACTCTGTATAAGCCACAGGTTTGTATGGGAGGTCCTGTTTGGACAACATTTATGGGAACATCTCCAGAAGGTGTCTAGAACACTTTGCAGGTAGTGTATACACTCTTCCAGTTCCACAGACACTGGAAGGAGATGTGGCATGTGTTTTGACCTTCATAGCACTCTCCCAAATGCTTTAAATGCTCAGTTCTCTCCTTGATGAGACTTATTTTATACCAGAAAATTTTCGGGGATTTGACTGAACTTACTCTTAATGCTCCTGAAAGAGAAATGAAACCAACATCTTGACACGACTAAAAGAAAGAATTTTTCTCATTGACTAATTGTCAAAATAGTATTTCTGAACTACAGCAGTTTCTTCAACAAGAGTGTTACTCTCTGCCATGCTTTATATGTGGCTTCCATAAATTTGGATAGCAGAAATGCATCAACCTCAGTGGGACACACAGATTTCACTTAAAACACACTGCAAAAAAATCTAAGCTTTTCTGTTTCAAAAACCTTTTTCATTGTTCTGTACTTGCTGAAAACAATTCTAAGAGGTGCTTCAGACAGAACATAGGAGTTATCTTAGACTGTTTAAAAATGGATGATTCTTGGAAAAGCTAAGCTGTATAGAAACACATAAAGAGCTGAATTCTCTGTACAAAAAATCATTAACAAATCAAGGCAACTCTTCTAGTATTTTGAGCTTTTCTTGCAAGTCAAGAACAGATCAGCAGATTTTTTTTCACTGACACTGCATGGACGTTGTCCATACCAGCATGAACATCTTTCTCTTTGTCTGCAAGTGCTCAGGCCATGGAACAGTCTTTTCAGCACCAGATCCCGTCTTAGCAGTTCTTGTTCAGAATTACATCTTGGATGATGAATGAACTGTATCTAGAATACACAGATTAAGTTCTGTCTTTTTCATGTTTTTTTCCAGTTTCTTTCTCTTACAGAGGGAAAAGATCTGAAAAAAACCCCGTAGTTTTGTAAAGGAATACAGAAAGTCCCTCCAGCTCTGCTCCAGAATGGTGTGGGTACAAGCTTCTTGATGGACACAACCCTTCAGAAATCAACAAGAGTGGGATTTTTGAGCTTTAGTTCTGCTTTTTGTGCCTCTGAGAGCTGAAGTCACAATCCCCATCTCAACAGCCAGCTTTTCTACTACTTCTGCAGCAAACCCAAGATCATTCAGATCAGAAAAAGCTTGTCCACAGGTACATTTCTTGCTTCAGAAGACATGGATCATTCCACAAAGAAAAGCTATGAGTTGAATGGTGTCAGATAGATGTGTCTGACTCTGGAAGCACCAAGCTTTTGCATCCTTGTACCTACAGCCTAGACTGTGATTGATGTTAATGGGCACATGTTAAATCACTGTACCTCAATCCAGAACTACTATTTAGTTAGGGATAGTTTCTATCTGTCTACTCCTAATTGCTTTCTCAGAGCCCAAACATAATCATTCCAGAAACTGATATAAACTTTTTAAGGAAATATGTCTCATGTTCCATACATATGCAGACTACTTATGAGTGCATAAACCAACTATCAAATCTGTGAGATTCCATCTTATTGATTGATACCATCTTGTGTGGTATTCTGACAGCAAAAAATAGCTTTATAATCATATGACAAATTTCTATAGAAGACAAACTTCTTACTTGCATTTAGCCTTACCAGCCTCCCAATCTTTCATCTTGCACTTGTCCTATTGTAAGGAAGACACTTATTTCAGAGTATTTAATACAAATCCTCCACACCAGTGCTTTGCATTCCCCCCAGAACAAGAATTTATTTGTGTGTGTGCATTTGGGGAAGGTTGTCAGCCTCACTTTTAACCAGAAGAACCCATGTTCAGTCTGATCACTGCTCTTTAACTCTGGCCCATTTTCCTCACTCCTGAGGACAAACAGGTACAACCCCTTATTTCAAACAAGATACCAGTCTCTTTTGATAGACATGGCACCAGAAAGAGCAGCTTTTATTGGTCAAATCTTGAATAAACTGAGGGAGAGCAGGAGAGGACTGACTGGCAAAGACCCACTTTCCCCTTATGCATCTGATGATGCAAATTGTGGCTTGGAATCAGGGTCAATCAGTCCAAGTTTTTTGGAGTTTGTGTCATGGATGAGCCCACATGGGAAAGGAGAGAGTGAGCAGAGATCTGTGCCTGTCACATTGTGGGTATCTTCTAGTTTCTAATCCTGCCTATATCACAGAGACTGCTCCCACTTTGACTTCATCACAAGACAGGGACCTCTTCTGCAGGTCTCTGGTCTAGCAAACCTGGAGTCCCAGCCACACTTCTGCACAGTGTGGTCCATGTGTTATGGCAAGAGGCTGCAATGCTCACTCAGGCAAAGCAATTTTGGAGTAGCTGTTTCACTGGCAGGTTCCTGTCCTGCTCCTTTTGGAGACAGTTACCTCCAAGAAACCTCCAGGTCATGATGAGAAAGACAATTTTGAAATTATTAAAGAATAATCCTTGAGTAAAATTAATGTTCTTCACCATGTGAAGACTTCTGAATTAAGACAAACATAGAAATAACTAAGGCAGAGCTTGGGCACAGTTTTACACTACACAGCCCATTCAGTAATGTGTACTCCAAGGTTCATGGATGTCTAAGGGCTCACGTCTGCTCCCTGCCCTCTCTACAAAGGACTAACTACCCTGTCCCCTGCTGTCCCCTCTGAGTCTGTTGTGTCCTGCTGAGTGCTCGTGTTTCTCCAGAGAAGGCTCCAAAACCCCGGGAAGAAGCAAAACAGGAAAGCCTAGGGATGAGCCAGGCTGTAGAAAAGAAGGGAAAGTTTGGGGAAGAGTCAAGAAAGCTGAATAAAACCTAAGGAGTGAGGAGATAGGAGAAGAATAAAGACAAGGGGTTGTTCAGAACTAAGAAAGTGTTGAACCATGACAGCAGGGCAGGTGGTACTGTACCAACTGCTGCAGGATGCAGGGAAAACTGGGCTGCACCTCTTTTCCCCTCAAAGGTGAGAAAAGTTCTTTACAAAATCAAACAGAATCTAATATCCCCAAAGGAAATTAAATAAAAGGCAGGTTTAAACCAGCTTACAGACAGAGAAGAGGAAAAACTAAGTTTATTGAAAAAGGTAAGGCCAAAATGCAAACTCAAGACGGGGATACCAGCTGTCTGTGACGGAGCTGGTGGTGAATGTGCAGACCTGAGCAGTGCCTTGGGAGCGTTTTGTGTTGTGTCAACCTGCCACAACATGCAGCCCTCACTCCAAAGATTGCATGCTCCAAAACAGAGAGACCTCCACAGAGGCTCCAGCTGGCCCCAAAAACCCTGTCTGGGGAAATGGGTGAAGGTTTGGGGTACCTAATTTTGGCCCCTTCTCTCTGTAGCAGAAACCTGAGTACACAGGTGTGTGTAAAACCTTCTTGCTGCCCATGCCCAGCAATCCCCACACTGTTTTACTTATTGGAAACACATTTAGGAGGTATCCCAGGCCTGGTCTGGGAAAGGAGGGCTTTTATGCTGACCCGTTTCGCTGGCACAACTCCCACGAAGCCCCAGGTATCAAGCAGCAGTTCCAGGCATTGCCAGCATGGCAGTCTATATGATGGGAGGATCTGTAGTGCTGGGGATTAGAGCTCCTTCATTTCTTAAGGCTTGTACCAGTGTTTCTGAGGAGATAATAACGCCCTGAGTCCTGCCAGGAGTAGGACAGGACAAGCGGGTGGGCTGGGGTGGGAGATGGGAGGTGGGAGGAGAGAGAGCTCTGTAGTGAGCCAGTAGACAAGTGAGGACACAGGTGACAACTCACCTCTCCCTTGGGGTCCATCTGGAGGTTCACATGCTGCCCACCCTCAACCTGCGAGGCTGGGGAGAGGAAGGCCTTTATCCTCCTCTTCACTCAGAAGACTGCGATGCTGGAATTGACGATGCCATCTGCAGAGCAGCAAATTTTTTCTGGGGGTGCTCAAAATCCAGAGCACCTCGGATTGCAT